GTTGTTTTTTCAAATTTGTGTTACACCCCTGGAAACACGGACTTACACTGACATGCCCCTCTGACAGTTGAACTGAGCGAAAAAAAACCAGTGTTGCTTGGGGCCGGCATCTTTTCATTGTGCCCCTACCCGAAATGGTTGAACTCTTCAGTTTGCCCCTACTGGATGGCTGTTGGCAGTGTTGGGTACTTCGACCTCTACAACAAAAAAACTTTTTAATGCGACCCTACCAGTACAAGCAAAGAAACCAGTTTTAGTGATCACCTGTGGGGTGAGGACCCACCAGCAATCTGGACATGTTTGTGGAGAGGTGCAGAAATCCAAATCCCTTGGTGAAACCCATGCTGATGCCTGGACCCCACAGGGCAAAATGTTGGAAAACGCTCACCGGGAGTGCTTTTCCCGGACCCCAATGGAAGAAATAGGGTTCTCGGAAAGTGGTTCTTCTGTGGCTCGGGCCGCTTCCCGGGACCCCACAGTCTGGAAAAGTGATCGTGGAAGATGGCACTTTGACGTTTCCGCATGTGGTTCCGGCCGAGAATGTGACACTTTCCGGAGTTCACGGCATGATTTTGTGCCTGTCGGACTGGGTAGGGGGGGGGGGGGTGGAAAAGTTTGGAAAACTTCCTTCCACAAAGCGGGTCCATGGAGTGTCCGGTAGGCAGCACATTCCATTCCAGCGGCCACGACGCAGAGAAGGGGAGTGTCGCATGGCGCGGATGGACCAAACGGGGATGGGACCATTTTTTCCCCGCATTCGTTGTTTTCGTCGGAGGTGGAACACGTCGTCCGTGGATCCATGACACGTGACGGTCGACACTTTCTCCCCTCCTTCACGTCAGTGGCTCGTACGACCGACCTCGCTGCTTCGATGGCAATGAACGGGGAAAGGAAGATTGCTTCTTTCGCTGGCGATGACAAAATGCTAGCACTGCACGACAACACGAAACGCAGCGAGGCCAGATCGGGACACGGCTCAGAGATGTAGTCCGACTGGGCAGACAAATGTCAATTAAAAAAAAAAAAAGGTGGCGAA